TACTAGACTTAACAATACTAAAATATAAAAGAACCCACTAGAGGCAACAATTAAGACTAAGCAAACTTAACATCAGGAGTGTCATCGAGCAGGACCTCCACAAGCATAATGCCATGAAACGAAAACTAGTTTTGTGGTTGAATGTTGAATAAAAGATATCAAAGAAATTTAAGTGACCCACTTTTAACACAAGTGCAAACTCATGTGATCAATTTTCGTGTAGAATTATTAGTCTATACACAACCAACCTAGACCATCAATATATATGCTCTTGCACTCTAACTCTAATTCAACCCTGTAGGCTGGTCAGCTACCATTTCTTAAAGTATTTGTTACCAGTCTCAACCAAGGCATCTATGAATTTCTATTACTTATTATCTAAGTAATTTAGTAATTTATTTTAAGTACATCATATTGGATTGGTTGTAATTGTTGAATGACAAGTGATTGTACTTGATAGTGCTCTGCTCGATTTGTTCGGAGAGCTTCGAGTGAGAGGGGTGAGCGGCTTGAACCGTACAAAAGAGAGGATGTTACAGATAGCCTGGGTTGTGACCCTAAGGCAAAGAGGCTCCGATGGTCAATTAAGTTAGTGTTAAACTGGATGGGCTCAAGGATAATTTAGATCAGAGAAAGCAAGGAGACTTAGAATACTTTATTAGAGAGCGTATCCCATGAAGGTGAAGGCACCCCCTTTTATTGAGTTGGGGGACGACGATCAAGGCGCTCCCGAGATTCTTGCAAGTAATAGATGTTGGTGTATGAATTCTTAGGGGCTCATGGGAGCGTTCTCCGGATGAGCCACTTGTATTTTTGTTGGTTGCTTGACATGTTTCTGAGTATCTTGGAGAAAACACATCCCCCATGCTGATGTGGCAGGTTGGGGTCATTCTACCGAAATGTCAATCTGTGCTTGGGTCGCTTGATATCCCGAGGAGCACGAAGTGGAAGCTCTGATTTGACTGTTGTGGTCACTCGAGGAAGAACCAAGGTGATGTAGTGCAAGGTGCCCGATGTGTCAATTTTGCCCATCATCAGTACTAAATTTACCTAACAATACCTTGTTAAGTAAATTTTATTTATTAGAAAGTGGGAGGATGAATTTTGATGGGACTAATTGTACGCTTGGCATGCATGCATAAGAGAGTTGTTGACCGATTTAAGTTTGTGAGCCCGTTTCATTGAGAGATATGCAACTTGAAGGAAGAACCACCCTGAGCTCCTATGAGGTTTCCAACAAACGGACCACCAAGACGACTGTTGAACCAAAGTCCAAGGAGGCAGTTCCTATTAGGGGTGGCAACGAGCTGAGCTTTTCACGTGCTGGTCAAGCTTGAGCTCGAGCCTACTAGAGCTCGGCTCATGAGACTCGCAAGCCGACTCGAATTTGGCTCGAATCCACTCCTAAGTTCCTACAGAGATAGATTGTTGTCAAAAGCAAGCATAGAGCCTCACCATGTGTCCAGAGAGTGGCCTCTTGACAACCCATGTGGCAGAGTAATCGACACGCAAGACATCAATGGGCCCTAGGCCCACACCATGCATTCATAACATGGCATACCACTCAGCCAAGAAAGCTACACTGAGCACCACATGGCCAAATCGTCTACCAGGTGGCCTTGATTGAGTCCCAAGTGGTCTGACTGATCCCAAGGTGGTCCTAGCTAAACCCCAAGTGGTTTGATCTCCAAGTGGTTTGACTGGGCCAAAGGTGTCTTGAAACCAAGCTTCAAGTGTCCTGATCGGGCCCCAGGTGTTTAAGGTCAAATACTAGGTATCTCGAGGTGTGAAAGATGTCGCACACATGACCGAAACGTGTAATCTAAAATATGCAACCGAAACCTATATAAAAGTTAGAACAACATTCAATTGGACATAATGTTTTCATTGAACTCTCACCTACCCTCTTAGATAGCTTGGTGCACTGACTTAATCATCGATGTTACAAGCCCAGGATATCACCCCGGGCTCTATGACCTTCCTTCTTCCTTTGCAGATGGACACCGAGCTGTTCCAAAGACCTGGACGATTTTTGGCCACATCAAGTTTAAAGTGAAATATTTGAATGATTATTCACAATAAAATCATAATCATGTGTTAGCTTAATGCGGAGTTGTAATGACCCAGAATCTCTAGCCAAATCGCTCGATGCATTTGATCAACCAAACATTTGCCAAAAATCAAAGCTTTTCTTGTTGTTATGATTAAGAGGAAACAATTGATAGTTTCCTCCTCCATCGCATGAATAGAGGCTAATAGGTAACAAATAGGGTGTCTCAAAGATATGACGAAAACAGAATGCAATAAGGATCAAAGAATGCCTTTTTGGCCCTTCAATTCTGAAGCAATTAGGTGAGACCATCTTTGAGTTTAAAACGGGATTAAAGAAGAAGAACTAAAAATGGAAGAGCCTCTTGACTGGAAGCCATATGTGAAAAACATGGAAATGATCAATTTCGATGAGGCTGTTTAAAAAAACGGAAATTGTCTAAAATTCATCATGAATTTTCAGCATCTCTTAAACTCACAGCTTTTCAAAATGTCTAAAACTCACCATGTCACTTACTTGACGTTTAACTGACTAACGGGTGTTTATATATTACCATTTTAACCTTCATAAAAATATAAAATACATACAAAATAAATTAGTGGTGTTAATGTATTATCATTTTAATATTTAGACATGAAAAAAGGAAAAGTAAAAAAAAATATTTTCAAACATAAAATACATAAAAATATAAAAAATTATAGAAATTGCAAACAAAATAAAAAAAAATTATTTTCAAATTATAGAAACTATAGAAATTGAAAAACAAAATCAGAAAATAAAAATAATAGAAAAAAACACCAAAAGTTATAGAAAACACACAGAAATTGTAAATAAATAACAAAAATATAGGAAAATTTATAGATTGTAGAAAATAGAAAAATGTAAAAAAAAAAAAAACAGAAATTATAAAACCCATTGAAAATTATAACAAAACACTAAAATGCAAAATAAAAACAAGATAATTGAAAACCGAAAATGACCATTTTTCCTCTAACTCACCATTAAAAGATACTTTGATCATGAAAATTGTTATTTATGCTAACATGGACACCTCTATTAAAAAGCATTAACCATGCACTAACAAAGGTGCGTTTTAAAAGATAAAAACTTACTAAAATGGTGAATTTTAGACATTCTAAAAAGTTGTAACTTTTAAATTTTAAGAGAATCCATGATGAGTTTCGGACAATTTCCCAAAAAAAAAGTTCAATGGTTAGCAGCTACAAGCTATTGGTTGAATTGCGCGGGACGAGTATGTAAAAGCGAAAAATCTGAAAAGGATAAACCATTTGACCACAGTGGGAAATTCCGAGCCAGTAAGTACTATTATAACGGTTGGCTCATCTTCAAATCCTCCCGCTCTCGTGTAGGGTTGTGTTGTTTGGTTAATCAGGTCGATCTTGGTTACAGTACCAAGAAAAAAAAAGAAGAGCACTTCCTTCCATCATTTTCATCATCTTTAATCCTTATTGTCTACTGACAAGGAACCCAGATGCGATTAACGAGCGAGTAGAGGGCAGAAACCCGGTTTGACTTAACGAGTGATAGAAGTATTTTCACCTAGTCCAATTAGAGGCCTATAGATAGAAGCACAGTACTCCAACTCCATACATCCAATCCAATCTCAAATCTATAAAACTTGTTACAACTTACGGAAGGTTCCAAAGCAATTAGACAAATATAAGTTTAAAAAGGGTGTGGAGCACCCGATCAACAGACCAGTCAAACGCACCCGCTTAGGTAGGTAGGGTTTAAACTTCAAATTGCTCCTCTTCTTCATCACCTACCCGTTCTGTGTTATCCACATAACCAATTTCAGTTGGGGGGTAGGCCCATTATCCATCACAAGTAATGGGGTCGTATTTTGCCGTACCTAACATAATGAGTGTACGTATCTGACGATGTGATAGTTCTGCATGCCCAGTGTCGTCATTACTGTCATACAGCTCCAGGGTGATTGGCCACCCCCAAACCCAAACCCAAACATGGGTCTCCCCCCTCTCCTTTCACACAGTCACACTCTTTCCGGGGCCCACCTATTTCTGCAATGTACTTGAAAAATCTTGAATTGTAATGGGCCCACAATTTCTAACGCTTTCTTCTCTTTTACTTTTCCCCCCACTCAAAAACCTCCTTTTGCTTTTCTTTTTTTTTTTAACCCCAGAGGCCAGAGGTGAAATAGTCAATGAGTTTTACTGTTTTACAACCACATCTTGCTTTGCTTTCCGTTGTGTATTCATACCAGCTCTGAAAAGCATGGTGGGGCACTTCTCACTGTGAGCAGAGCAGGTACTTTGTATTCATCAATGAGAAGTTGAGAACTGCAGAATCCATGACTGTGTCACTGGGTAGCTATGACTCTGGGCCATACATATTCCGACCTACTAAATTTTAATAATAATCAGCAAAGGTACTCAGAGGCAGAGCAGACAGAAACATACATCGAAACAGCAGAGCAGGTTACTTGTAATGTGAGCTCTGTGTGATAGAAATGCAAATGCAAGCAGTGGTAAAATCCGGAATATAGAAAACATGTCATGTCATCATATAAACCTAGCCTTTAAAAGAAAAAAGAAAACACGTCTTATCCGAGTATTGCAATTTGCAAGCCTCGGATCAGATACCATTATGAACCATTGAGGGTTTATAGTCCGATCCGAGTATTGCAACATCGATTTGCAAATGAAAGTTGTTTTGGGCCACTACTTCCCAAAAGGAAATTTTTTTTTTTTTCTATATTCTTTCTTGACGTGTAAGCAAATAAAGAAGAGGGAGAAGGATGAAAACTTCTCTGGGCCATCGCGAGTGGAAACTGGAAAGGTGGTTTCCTAGTTTTTTTCCTTGTGGTAGAAAAGTTGAGTCAAGAAAGGAGGAAAAAGGATAATTATAATAATAATAATAATAATAATAATAATAATAATAATAATAAGCATTTGATAATATGGATCACTTGTTAAAGATTTATGCACCATATATCCATTTATGATATAAGATCGACCGCTACTCCATCGGGAAATGGGGAGTATCATAGATAAGTGTTCCAGATCAGATAACTAACTCATCCTCGTATCTACAGCCATCATCATCATTCAGATTTCAGAAATCGGACAAGGTGGGGAAAGAGGTGTAAAAAAAAAAAAAGGTAAAGTTAATTGGACGCAGACTGATATCATATCATACCCCCAAACAGAAGACATGCTACACACCTCAGGCTCAATCAAAACTCGTCAAATGTGATGGTGCTGAAGCTGCAGCAGCCGAGAATAAGCACCATCGGCCCGGCTCACCAGTTCGGAGTGGCTGCCCTGTTCCACAATACGGCCATCTTGCACCACAGCAATATTGTCAACCCCTTGGATGGTTGAGAGTCTGTGAGCCACCAACACGGTGGTCCGTCCTCTCATCAGCCTCTCCAGGGCTTCTTGGAGAACACACTCCGACTCAGCGTCCAGTGCACTTGTTGCCTCATCTAGTAGCAATATTGCTGGGTTCTTTAGCACCGCTCTGGCAATTGCAATCCTCTGTTTCTGCCCACCCGATAGCTGCACCCCTCTCTCCCCCACCGGGGTCTTGTATCCATCTGGTAACGCACTAACAAAGCCATGCACGTTTGCAGCCCGAGCTGCCTCTATCACTTCAGCCTCCGTTGCTCCATCCTTCCCGTAAGCAATGTTATCAAAAATGCTCGCTGCAAATAACGCTGGCTCTTGTTGTACCAGCCCAATCTTAAGCCGGAGAGACTTCATGTTCAACCTCCGGATGTCCTTTCCATCGATTAATACCTTACCGGCTGATGGATCGTAGAAGCGCTCGATTAACACTATTACAGAGCTTTTCCCAGAACCACTGGCACCAACAAGAGCCTGGCTTTGCCCGGCTCGGATTCGGAGGTTGAGGTCTTTAAACACCATCACTTCAGGTCTTGTGGGATAAGCAAAGTCAACATGCCGCAGCTCAATTTCCCCACGTACAGACTCAACTGTTTCGGCGTCAGGTTCATCTGGATCAATTTTGGTAGTCCTGTCTAGAATGGAGAACACAGAGCTCACGGCCTCACCACCTCTGATTATTTCAGGGGCAAGGCTGACGGTCTCGGCTACTGAGTTGGCAGTGATGACAAGGACGACAAAGACCTTAATGACCTTGGAGAAGGTAGATACACCTTTGCTGACAAGGTGTGCGCCATACCAGAGGATAAGAGCCTCCGATGCGTATAATGCAAGCTGGGAGACACCAAACATGGAGCCAGCGGACTGGCTACGTCGGAGGCTTCTGCGTTGTGGGACACGGAGCTCGTGGCAGAAGAGGGAAAGAATCTTATCCTGGGCATTGAAGGCTGCCACAGTGCGGATGTTGCTCACACCTTCTCCTGCAATCATGCTCGTTTTGGCATGCGCCTTTGCTGTGTCTCCGGCGAACCCTTTCAGAGAAAGTTGCTGTATGATTTGGGTAACAGAAAATAACTGTCAGAATAATCAATGATTTATATACCAAAAGTATAAGTAGGTGGATCATATTTAGTCAGTCTTCAAGAAATGTACAAACCCAAGTTATTTTGATTTTACAGGCAGTGCAGCTGGCACTTAATCCTTTCCACATGGGGCACAGCCACATGTGAAGCTCTCGACAGTCATCAAGAGACATGAACGACAAATGCATTGGTTTGACTTTGCTTAAAGAAAAACCAGTTTATTTGGGCCCATCCATTTGGGTCAGATTCCTCTTCTGCAAATCTAATTTTCTATCAGGTGTGTAAGTCGTTTAACTCTTAAAATGGCCCCAACTGGCAAAGGTAAATAGAAAAGATGTTTCTGTTTCAGTGCTGGAACTAAAACGGGACAAGACGCAAAAGTTAAAAAGTTATGAAAAAAGGTGTAGAAATCGTGAAAGTGAATCAGATTTCTTTTTTTTTTTTTTGCACCGAGACTAAATAGGAGTTAGGACGCAACTGTCAATGCAGAGCGTCAGCGAACCATGACTGCACCACTGACAATTCCACCATGAAAATACATGATCAAAGAAAATTTTATTTTAAAAAAATAAAAAAGGAACGGAAATATGTTGAAACAACTAAGAACAAAAACAAATCAAAATCACGAGCGCGAATCTTACGAAACTATTGCATTGGTTCCAAGACACTAAACAATGGAGTAAAGCAGTAAAAATCTCAAGTATTTTCGTCCCCTTCTGTTCAGAGTTCAGAAATCAGGAACCCCTCCCCCCTTTCCCCCCTTCTGCAAGAGACAGTCAACTAATATACACTGTAGCCCTGCAGCATTGGTACAAGGTAAATACACTGAACCTTGTGTATTGACCCGGTGGTAAATTCAGGAGTTCGAAAAATAAAAATAATAAAAATAGGAATAATACAAAACGTCATTTTTTGTAGATAATGAGCCAAATGCACAGGAGGGTTGGGGTTGAGTTGGGCAAATTCCATTTCAGATGCAAAAATATCCCTATGTCATCACAACGAATTTATTATCATTAAAAGCAGGGTTATATAATGCCTTTTACCAAGGACAGGCACGGTTTAATAAAAAAATATAAAAAATTGGGAACGGAGGAAAACAATCGAGAGAAAGAAAAGTTAAAAACCAAGAGAGGGAGAGAGAGAGCAGCCCCGCTACCCCGCCCGCGGCAGAGGGAATGCACGTGCATTATAGTGCCACGTTGGATCTATCCTAGTATTCTTTACTTCTCTGTATTTATAAAAGTGTCAGATTCGGTCCAGATACGACGACGGGTTCTGACACACAATTCCGAGGAAAATGACATGAAAACCCTTGGGTTTAGGTCTGCCCCAAGCAACCGCCAACCGGGCACCGGAGTGGTTAAAGTAAAGGGTGGAACATAGTCGAGAGCAGAGAATGCGACTAAAAATTACCTGAGCAAAATTGGCCAATACCAGAAGAGGGAATGTTGCGAGGATAAGGAGCGAAACCCTCCATTCAATTATGAAAGCCACTATAAAGGACGTGAGCAGGGATGTCATGTTCTGTAGTATCACCGAGATCCTCTCAGCAATGGCCGACTTCACATCTGCAGCATCCGTAGCCAGGCGAGCCGCAACCAGGCTTGAATTGTTTTCCTCTTCATCGAACCACCCTACTTCATTCCTTAGGATAGCTGCAACATTTTTCACAATATAACAGAGTAAATATGAATACAAATATAAACAACTCTTCTTATGGGTGTCCATTCGGCAATTTTCCTAGAGCTAGAGAGCTAGGTTGGTCTCTGGTCCCCGATGATCATTTTGACCAGTCTAAGACTCGGAATATAGTAGGCCTCGGGTTAGCATTCTTCTTTATTGGTCATGTGATAAAACTAGGCAACTCATGTTCACAAGTTCATCCCTAGTGCCCTATCCACTGCTCGTGGGCCTAGCAGCCTAGCAGGAGGTGGCACCATATCCTGATGAGCCATTGAGCCCTTCTCCTTCGACAGACAGGGGGATGGCGATAAAGAACAAGAAACAGAAGATGCCCATGGGGGCAAAAAATGGTGCAAGGACTTGCGTACCTGCAAGCATCATCCTCCTAACTCTAGTTGTTAGGTTCTCCCCCATGATGCTGAAGAAATAATGCTGCGTTAGATATGCCACCACAGCGTAAAGCCCTGCTCCGATGTATATGAACACAAACTCCTTTGTTTTCCTCTCCATTGCCGTGTAATCCCTGTAGTAAAACACCTCGATCATGTTGCTCATTACAATTGCAAATGTTGGGCCAATAAAGCCGGATAAAACTGAACCAACTGCCCCCATGATTGAATATGGCCACTCGGGTGCATTCAATTTGAGCAGCCGGAAGAAGTATCCATCTGGAGCAGGATTCTTCCTATCAGTGTCTGCATTCGATATCATCTCAATTCGACCATCTGCTCCAGTACTGTACTGATAGCTCAAGTTCCTCAAACTACCAGACCGCAGGCTCAGGGACTTTGTAGAAAGAGAATGACTTAAACGGGAGGACCGTGATCGGCGGGTTGATGGTGCACCCAAATCCCTGTTCCTGGCCATCTCCTGGAATCGGATTAAGGAGGCATACGATCCTGCTTTGGCTATCAGTTCATCGTGGGTCCCAGTCTCAACCACTTGGCCTTGCTGGATGACTGCAATTGTGTCCACGTTTCTTATTGTCGAGAGGCGATGAGCTACCACAACAGTCGTCCTCCCGACCATCAGGCGGTCTAGAGCCTCTTGAACGATGCTTTCAGAACCAGCATCCAGGGCACTAGTGGCCTCGTCTAGAAGGAGGATTTTTGGGTTCTTCAACATAGCTCTGGCGATCGCTATTCTCTGTTTCTGCCCACCGGAGAGTTGTACTCCTCGCTCTCCAACCTGGGCTTGTTGTTACAGGGTAAAATTCCAAGTTAGAACCTTGATTGCAAGAATCAAAGTGATAAAATTTAATCAGAAGAAGGAAAAATAAAAATAAAAAGCAATGGTTATGAAGTGTAGTTCAAAACAAGATGGCATCACTTTTAACACTATCCACATGGAGATGCTCAACAGTTGAGCTTTGATAAAAAGTCGTATGCATTTCGCTTCGTAACAATTTGAATTTTAACATAATGTGGATCCGGTTGAATGGACTTGCATTTTTATCCTTATCACATGCTACAGGGAAAACTGAAGCTTGCTGGGCAGCTAATTACTTACTTGCGTATTATACCCATTAGGAAGTAAAGTAATGAAGCTGTGGGCATTTGCAGCAGCAGCAGCAGCTTCAACTTCAGCAATAGAGGCATCAGGCTTTCCATAGAGAATGTTCTCGAGTATGGTGGTAGCAAAAAGAGCAGGTTCTTGGTTCACCAAACCAATCTGATCCCTTAACCACTTGAGTTGGAGGGTCCTTATATCCACATTATCCAGCAACACCTGCCCTGCACAGGCCAAAATGGAACAGAAATTAATACAAACCAAAAGTAATAGTTTTAATACGAATAGGCATGAGAGTAGGAGGACAAAGGAAGGTTTCAGTTACCCTGATTAGGATCGTAGAACCTTTCTATCAGGGACACAACAGTGCTCTTTCCTGACCCACTACCTCCAACAACAGCAACTGTCTTCCCTGCTGGGAAGAAAATTGAGAAATCCCTAAAGATAATGACATCTGGCCGTGATGGATAGCTAAAGGTCACATCTTTAAATTCAATATTCCCATTGACCTCCGTCAAACACTTTCCATCGGAGGGGTCCTGAATTATGGAGGGCTTTTGCCTGATAATCTCCATTAGCTTATATCCAGCTGTTTTGCCTTTACTAAAAGCTCCAAGATTTGAAAATGACTGGCCCAAGCTCCTGTTGATGAGAAACAAGGGTTACTACTCATAATTAGGAGGTTGGGACATAAAAAAAAAAAAAAGAAATCAAACAGAGCCCGAATATGGCAAGAAGTTAGGTAGATCAAAAGGGATAGAAAATGGAGAGTGCATTTGAAAATTGGCAATCTTACATGCCACCAACAATCGCAGAGAAAATGGCGGTGAAAGCCTTCCCACCGTCGGTCTGCCCGTTCCGGATGAAAACACCAGCATACCAGAAAACGAGGGCCCATGACATGCAAGCAATGCCATAGGTGCATCCAATTCCAAGGCCCTTGGCCATCCCCGCCTTGTACCCCAGCTTTAATGTGTTCTGAATCGCATCTGAGTAGGAATTAAGAGCCTTGCTTTCCCCAACATACGAGTATACGGTCCGAACTTGAGCAATGGCCTACTCAATTATCAGAAAATATAAATACCAACTGTCACCCCATGTGCGCTTTCAGAGGATTTCATTTCATAGCATTACACAGATAAAAAAACAAAAAAGTTGACAACAGTGTCCAAAATAAGTTGAAATTTAGTAACAGAATAAGTATGTACGAGTGAGTTTTCAAAGCACACTTGTAAATTGTAATTTGTATTCTTTTTTTTTTTTTTAACCCAAAGTCCTGAGTTCTTCAGAAATTCATTTAAGCAATGTTAGATGATAATAATTTTAATTTTTATAACGTACAAATGTAAGGACAAATTTTTATTTTTTTCCCGTTGGGGGGTGGGTTTCATGCTTTTATTAACCAGGGCACGTGCAGAGAGAGAGAGAGAGGCACCTAGTTCTATTTTCATCAGAAGGCGCAAAATGACGTTTAAGTTACAATTCCAAACCTCCAATGGCACGTGTCCCCATGAAGTGGCAAGTACCAAGTACATTACTTTTCCTGGCCCTCTATGGCCGGAACAGCGAGTATCGATGGAGTCAAAAATTAAAAACGACTCCAACAACTTTTTCATTTATTTAGGAAATAAAGGACTTATCACATGAGTGGAACTAATGGCATGGATAAAAGGAAATAAATCAAAACTTACCTGCTCGGCGATTATGCCGGCGTTGGCGTAGGATTCTCGACTCTTGGAAGTGAGGCCGGTGAGTGTGTAGGCGTATAAGCCCCCGGCGAAGGCGATTCCCGGGATCACGGCCACGCTCAGTAGCGCCAGCCTCCATGCCGATAAGAAACCCACCACTAGTCCCGCCAGAAAAGTAGATAGATAGTGTATGAAATTCCCCACCTTCAACAAAACAAATGGGTGCAAGTAACAACAACGTTAGCAACAAACAAAACCCGACCATGACAAACCCATCTGCTTCTAACTGTCTTAGAATCTCAACTCGCCTAAGCTATTTTGCGCCACCACCCACTCCTCTGCTAAAATGAGCGTATCACTTGTGTACATGTAGACAAGAGGTGGCGAATAGGCAAGCTAGTAGGGTTCCCAGTTCCTAATACTACATAATAGACAGACAAAAGAATGGTTTGGAGGGTGGAACGGCAACTCCAAACAAACATCCAGATGAACGGGGACCCAGCCAAAGAAGAGATGCGTACGTTAAGTAAAGCGCCCAGCTAATGTGCGCCCCCAATCAGTAGCTTTTTTTTATAATGACGGGAACGGGGACTAAACAACCCCGGGCCCGGGATGAGGAGTGAGTAGGACGTGGGCTGTGGGGATGATGGTGCGATGGGTCATCTTCGGGTTTAACGGATGGATTGGTTTCCAGCGATACCGCTATGAGAAAAAACCCAAAGGAGATCTAAATCATATCCAGATAGAAAACGAGGGAAGTGGACGTTTCGGAAAAAAAATTGAAGGTACCTTCTCGCTAATCGCATCCTGAACCAGAAGAGTGTCAGTGGACACGCTGAAAACGATATCTCCCGTTCTGGCATCCGTGTCGAAGAATCCCACGTCCTGCTTCAACACCGCTTCTAAATACTTTTTCCTTAGACTAATCACTTGCCTCTCCCCCGAATACATCCAACAAGCGATCTCTGATCCATACATCCACAACCAAACAATTAATTAATTTTTGAATAAATCATTTCATCTTCATACATGATCCATACATCCCCATTGTCATTCTTCCTCTCCACATGGTATGGATATCATAAAACCATTAAAAGCAAACACCACCACAATTAATAACGAAATCATAACGTCTGAATCTCGTTTCGAAAAATAAGGAAGACGCAGATGACATTTATTGACAGATTTCTTGGTATTTTTCTCATCATCAAGGCGGGAATCCCGAATCAAAGACCCCAATTTCTTCTACAGGAAACGTTAAAGGAAACATTTTTGTTTCTCAGCTTGTCATGTTAAGAAAGAAACAGACCACGTGCCGCCGCTACCTACCGGATCCGATACGAATCGGACGACACAAGTCACTAGCAAGTAACAACTCCATTGTCCCCATATGGGAATGGGATCGTGAGGCTGGTAAACGTCGAGCACCTTATTGGTGAAACAGCTCGGACTTTAACCCAGCAAACAGAAGTTTGAAGTAGAGATCTAGAGAGAGAAAAAAAAGAGAAGCAGAGAGAAACAGAGATCGAACTGTGTTCGGCTCACCTGCGTAGGACGATAAGCATACGACCAGTCCCAGGTAGACAAAATACAGAGCATACTGCATTTCACCCCAAAAAAATAACAAAAATGAGAAGAATACAAACGGAGATATGAAATGATCGAGTAATGAATACCATTTAAATTAAATATCCAGAATGATGATGAAATGAGGATTTTGAAAATCTTGGGGGAATCAAACCTTGGCGACTTCTTCAGTCATTTTCTTCAAATCCGACTGGTTTTTTCCAAACCCATTGACCATATCTCCGAAGAGAAGGAAGAAAACAGGCATGGCAGAGCCATGAACCACAGCACCTATGCTTCCCGCTATCATGAGAACCCAATCATACTTGTCCGCAAATGAGAAGAGCTGATAAAAGGGAAGGCTCTGTTCCTTTTTCTTCTCAGCCTCTGGCAAGCTTTTACCTTCTGTAGTTTCCGCCATTGGAGCCGCAACCGAAGGCTTCTGCAACTTTCACCTGTAGAAAGGAAACAATGTAAAGGGCGAGCAAACTCAGGAGCCTCAGAACAACCTCGACGCCGTCTTGCCAGTGGTCTTGGTTCCGATTCTTTCCGCCATTGAAAACGCAGAAAGATCTAGCCTTCCTTCTACAGCCGTTAACCGGGAGAGATGGAGGAGGGAGAGTAAAGCGTCAACACCAACAGTCCAGGAAATCTTAACCGTAGGTTCCGATGTATTCTGGGTTTCCCACGGCCACCACCATTGGAGTTTAAAGCAGCGATCGGAGCCTTTTTCTTTTCTTTATATCTACCTCCACTTACCGTCTCAGGAAACTGACAATGTCGGTCTAGTTATCAGTCCAAGACGAGTCTTCACTTGGGAGCTTCGCATGCCCACTGGTGCGAGAACGAACAAGAGAGAGAAGGAGAGACCTTTTTAGTCAAACGAGACTAGATGAATTAAATGAGGCGTATGCGAGGGGGGGAACGGAGGAACTTATAGCGAAAGAGTGAACCATGGTTGTGAACTGGTTAATTGGGGTTAGATGGAATCTGGTTAAAGTTTGCTTCGATGGCTGTGCATGAAAATTGTATTGCAAACTATTATTGTTTGTTAGCACTTTGCACACTCCATCCAGTTACTCAATATTTATCACTTATTATCCTTTCTAGAAATAAAAGAAAGAAAATATTAACAACAAAAGAAAAGGCATCGATATTTTACTCAGTAACCGTTTACTTGATGACTGCCAAAGCAAAGCTTCTCCCACGTTATTTTTTAATTAATCCGTTAATCATTACGTAAGTTTTGTCAAAACGATCCACCACCCATGCATCTTCACCGTTCATCCACATTATGTGTGTGGGGTCCAGTATGGCTTATTTATTTGTTAATCATAATAATATTCTAAATCAACGTGCATTGTTTACACGTCGCCCTAAATTTTTCCTTGTCTTTGCTTATTAAACATCAGTGGTGCGAATTGATTATATGGAGCAGATTCGGATCGAGTATGGATCTTACCCTGCCCATATTATCATAGACGAGATGTAACACGTCGCAGATGAGATGGCAGTCTGGTAAATTACCCGCGTGTCCCTCCACTTCAATTTATTACTCTTAGACACGTTGTCGTTGTCCCACCCAGTCCCCACACAATAAATAAATCACATATGCAGTATCTCGCTACGCTAGTGTGGCAGAGGAGTGTCCGTGAGTTAATATAATATTGACCCTGGGCTGAACCGTCATTCTCCCTTTTAGATTTGTTTATTTGTCAGTTGGATTCCGTAGGAGGGTGCTTTTACATTTTTACAATAATAAAAAAGATTAGGGATTGTGAAGCTCAATCTACGTACGTTGCAAGTCTGTCGGAGTAAGCAGTAAGCACGGACAGACGTGACAAAACTCTCATTTACCAAAAAAAAAAAAAAAGAAAAAAACCTCGTCGGTTAAAAATAACAAAACATCCGTACCAAAAGGTTAAAACAAGTATTGAATCATTATTTACTGTTATTATAGTTTTGTTTTCTTTGATGGATAGGATAATAATGATCCACAAAATTACACTTATCAGTTGAAACAAAAAAATTTAAAACAAAAAAAAAAGCCAACGGCGTTAATAAACAGAGAAAAAAATCATCCGAATTTACGAGAGCAACTAGGTACATCTGATTAATTAAGAAAAGTATAGATAAGAAAGGGGCTAAAAGGGCTACGGACAGTGAAAAGAAAGGTTTTTAAAAACGAACTGAAAACAGAACCGGTGAGGGGACTGGTTCCGGTTAAACGGTTCAACCGTCCGGGTTGAATGGTTTGATTCGTGATATCATAAATAAATTAAAAATAAAAAATAGTATAAAATTAAATAAAAAACAGAAAAAATAAAACTATCTAAATAAAAAGTAATATAGTACAAAATACATAAAAAATATAAAAATAAAATACATAAAATTTAAAAAATATATATATAGAAAAAACACAAAAAATCAAAAAATACAAAAAAATAAAACCATAAAATTTCTTCAGTAAATCCTCCATCTACTTCCTTTGAAGCAAGAAACAAAACCCTTAGAAGTGGTGCATGTATGAGCAGAGCCACCCAAGGCCACTGCCACACTTTGATGCCGACCTACGTGATTAATCGTCAATGCCACCTCTCGCACATTGATGAGCATGGTGTTGTCGAACTCTTCCATATACATCTCTAGAATGATGCTTAGAGGATCCAAGATCCCTATTGATTGTCACAAGGGATTGCCACTCTAAGTGGCTGCAACAGTTACTACCACTAGAAACCCTCACCCGCCGTTGCAAATTCGTCGTCTGCAACAGCAAACTTGGTCGCAGGCAAGTCCGCCGTTCACCGCTGCAAGTGCTAACCGCCACAAGACCCGCAACTCTTACTACTGCCTGCAAGTTCGCCTTCAAACGCCAGAGGTGCTGGCCGCTGCAAGTTGTTGGTTGGGTGTGAGGGTTGAGAGGAGGGAACTCGAAAACCGTAAAGCTAAATTGACTAAACATTCGAACTGGGTTACTGGGTTGGGGAGAAAGTATTTTATTTTTTGTTTTTTTATTTAAAACATTGAAAAATAAAAAAAGTAACCCGCGAACCGCTGCCCGGGTCGAACGGTTTAGCGGTCTAACCACCCGAGTCAACGGTTTTTTGACTTTTTCAACAGGTTTTAAAAATTTCCAGTTTTTAATAAAACCAAACCCAAGGGGCTGACCAGTTATCGGTTTTTCCGATCCGACCGTCTGGTCCGGTCCAGTTTTGAAAACCATGGTGAAAAGTTTTTTATTGCATATGTCCATGGCCGAACTAGCGGAAGAACAGAACAAAATTTGGGTGAAAGTAATAAAAAATTATTTGATTGATGATGGATATGACAGTGAATCACCAAACAGGATTCGGCCCAAATATAATTGGGAAGATGATGAATTAAAGAGAAATGCATCCATTTTTCTTTAATGCTTAGCCAATAATAGGCTACCTTTGTTTTCCATTTATGTTAATTTGGGTTGATGTCAATGGTAGAAAAATATTTTTTTAATATAATCAAATATTTTATTTAAAAAATCCCATCCATTTTAGGTTAAAAGCAAACCATCCAACAAGTGATTCCCAGTGTTCTATTCCCCATTGTCCCTTTTTCTTGTTATTTTATGACTTGCACAGTATTTCACTATACATGAAACCTAAAACCTTAAAAGCAAAGAAAAAGAAATTAAAGACTACGGATCTAGCTATTTAAGAGGTTGATGAAAACATGGACTCTGGTACATATACAAGGGTTGGGTGTTTCTTTTTAAACTTTGTTGGTAGAATCACCAATTTAGAACACCAGGGGCTCAGACTAACTTCATCATCTCCGGTGTGGTATGCACCATGAGAAGTTGGGTTCAATTTTGGTATCAATGTCTGAAAGTCCATTGATAAAACAGACATCTAAACACTTTCTATTGCTTCATGGAGAAAAAAACCGAGTGTACTTTGTTTGGTTTTAGGGTTTTAGCAAAAGTTGGAGAAGCAGAAGATGCCTGGTTTATTATATTCACAAAGAAAAAAAGGGAGAAAAAGTTGGAAAAATTTGTGAATCTTCCAGCTTTCTTTTTTTCCATTAACCTTTCATATTTGTATTTAGTGGTTTGGTTTTTGTGGTTTAAATTGGTGTCACGCTGACTCTATTATAATTGGCTAGGGATGCTCAACAAAAACCAAAAAACTGAATCGAACCGATGAAATAAACCAAAAAGTTTAGTTCTATTCAGTGTTTTGAAAAAAAATAAAGGTACCGGTTCAATTTGAATTAACCAATATGAGAAACTAGCAGCTAACCAAACAACTTTGCTAATTCAACATTGTTGTCTCCTTTCAATTGAACTATTTGGATATTACGAAAACAATAACAAAAAATGCTGTTTAGAGTTAAAAGTAAGCATAACAAAAGCAAATGCTACAGTGCATGAAGCAGAAAGAGAAAAGTAAACCAGCTGTGAGAATGCGGCATCTTTAACATTATATTAAAATCTTCAACATATTTAGTAAGTACATGCACCCTGTGATACATTAATCAATGAAAAGGTAATAAATCATATAACATCTTTAACATTTTATTAAAATCTTCAACATATTTAATAAGTACATCTATAAAACCTGAATCAATGAAGAGGTAATAAATCATGTGACGTCTTTAAAATGCAACATGTAAAAATTAAGTCATTTTATAATGATATTAGGCTAATTACTTGAAATAAAAAGTCTATTTCCTACATATCAAGCTTTTTTTTTTCGAAAATTTTAGTAAAATTTTACTAAAAAGAAAAAACATTATTATTTAGAACGAGCCTTCATAACTTTCTCCAAAATAAACCAACGACCAAAGCAGCAACAAAACTGAAGCCGGGAAGACAAACTTCTCCTGACTACGACAACACTAGCAACTATCTCCTAAAATAGTCTTCCTACATATATATCAAGTATCAACGACAATAAAAATTGTTATTTTCTTAGAAACCAATTTCTAAAACTTGAATTTTCTTCTACCCAACCAAATAGCGCCTTCAAAGCTTTTGAATGTCCATCTTTCCTTTTATCTTTTGTACATTTATGTGTCACTAGTAATTAAGCACATGTGTTGCACATGTGATAAATTTTCTTTGTATTAATTATTTAAATTTTAAATATATCATAATTAAGATAGAAATTAAAAATTAACAAAAGTAACAATATAATTGAAAATAAACTTAAATATTTATTATTCAATTATGACATCAAGGGTTTCTTTGAAAGGTTGGATCACCAATCCATCATCTAGATAAGAAAATATCTTTACTTTTGAATTAGTTTTAAATTAGGGAAATTATAGTCAAAGCTCGTATACATTTAAAATTAGGCTACAAGTAGGTCCATAAACCAACAAAACTCTGACAAGCAACTCTACATTTCAAATTATAAAAACCCCACCATGTCATTAAAAGCTTATGTGGCTATTGACAACATGAGACTCTTAATCCATATTGGACACAACAAAAAGTTTATACTGAAATTGCCCTTTAATGTTAATTGGGTGATTGAAAAATTAAAAAAAAGGGTTTTTACTTTCTCTCTCTCTCATCTTTATTTGCTCAACGACTATGTGATCAGAAAATAAATAAAAATTGTTTTTGGCTTCTGTATTTACACTCTCTATATCAATTTCTCTCATTCACTCTCTACCTATTGTTCTCCTTCAATCTCTTTCATTCTCTTTCTTGGTCGATCTCTCATTCTCCCTTAATTTCTCTCCCGCTCCCTCTCTCTTTTTTTTTTTCTATTTTCTTATACACTTATATGGTATTAACAAGATTGTACAAAAGAACATGAGACCAACTTGGTATGGTTCAAAAATTATTACACCAATTTAATAAAAATTCACAAGAAGCTCTTGGCTATGAAATTTACACCAACTGGAGAACAATGGAGATTAAGGGA